TACTTAAGATTTTGCAGAACTGTTCATTTGGACAAGGGAAGGCTTGCACTCTGATGGTGCAAAAATATTATAATACTAGCTTATACTTACTGCAATATTATTTCTGTTTCTGTGGAGCCTTTCCGTTTCGTTTATATATCCTTTCTTATTCGTACTTTGATTCGTCAGAAGTATCTTAGGACGACTGATTCACCTAACAACGCGTTGACGCCAATTAATTACGTCTGGCCCCGCTAATTCTTGGTCGCTTCAAGCACAGCTCGAAGCAGTTATGAACGAGCAAAGGTGGAAGCTCGAAGAGATGAAAATTTCTAACTGAATTAGTTATTAGTTGCGTGAAGGTACGCGACGCGAAGCAGCGAGGCAGGCGGCCTCCGAGCAGATGCTACGCGGCCGTCGCTCCGAATCACCGCGTAAAAACATGCAAGTAGGTCAGATAGTCGGCGAAACCAAGTAGCAGTCTCCCTTCCCCAAGACTACTAGGCACTGCGACGCAATAATTTACCGTAAACTTTCAACGTGACGCGGCTCCACGATGCTTTCCTCCTCGCGTTCGATGCAATTCCCCCTCGACCGCGAGTTTCATCCCTTCCACGAGCAATCCAAGTACGAACGACGTCCTCGGCAGCCGGTGACGGCGACTCGACTGTCTTCCAGTGTTGTAAGAATTCGTAGAAAGCCGAGAGAGAGAGAGAGAGAGAGAGAAGACTCGATCTCGTATTCGGCGTTCTATTATTGAAAGAAGGGGGTGGGGAGATTGTCGAAAATTTACGAGACGTTCACAGAGTGACACACAGAGAAAGCGAACGAGATGGAGATATGTATTCGTGGGATTCTACGCTCCGCGTGGCAATCGTTTTAATATTCCGAGGGTTAGGGAACGATCGAGCAGTTCCATTGTGAAACGTGCACGCTCGGCCGGGCAGGAGAGAAAGTCGGCGGGAATTTTTGGCGCGCGGTTTCTTTCTATCGCGCGCGTGGGAGGGAAATTAAACGAGATCGAGTTGTCGATCAACCTGCCGATTATTCGCCATCGTTCGTCCCCCCGCGAAGAATCGAAACGTTTACCGATAATTCGGCCGGAACGTTTGGATTCCACGCGGCGACCGAGGAATTGGTATACTTGTTGCGCGAGCGACGAACGGGCCAATTAATCGCGGCGCGATCGAAATTTCCCTGGCCCTTTGTCATCCGAGCGAAAACCGAACCTGGTTTCGTGTTAATTAAATTTCATTGATCATCTCGCCGGTCGCGTGTCAAAGCGAGTCACAGCTCAGACGCGCATCTTCTCGCGTTCGTTTGTTCTCCGAGCGCGTAAGAACGGGTCATCAATTTTTCTCACCGATTCCCGTTAACGGGAACGAGTTCGAAGAAAAACCGATCCTTCGCGCGCTACGTGATAACGCATCGCTTAAATACTCTGTTACCAGCAGCCATTACGACAGCTGTGTCTCGCAAATATTTCTTTTTTCTTTTTCTCTCTTTCTCTCTCTCTCTCTTTATTTCGTTTCGTTCCGTTTGGCCGCCGATCTTCTTTTCCGGGCATGCTTGACCAGGTCGCCATTCTTCGTTTTACTCGTACTTTGTATATCTCTTCGTACACGAAAAGAGTTGTGACTTATTTAGGAAAGGTGGAACACGCGTGTAGATACAAAGAATCTGTTTCTGGTGCACGATGCAGCATAGAAGAGAGCTTAATTTATGGCAACCTCGGGTGTTTTCGCTTTCTCTTCCTCGAAGCCAGCGCGATGAAGACCAGGCGTTCGAACCTAAACGTTGCGTGTTAGTTTAGGTTAGGTTAGGTTTAGGTTCGAACGCTTCAAGCGTCCGGTGTGCTTCACGTTTCCTTTTTTCTTTTTCTCCGAGCACGAGTAAGTGAATAAGCATCGCGAACGCGTGCTTTTAAATTCGCAATGCAATGTTTAATTTGTATTCGGACTGCGTCAAAGTTGCGCAAGATTCGTTGGAAGAGAGGCATGTGCCGAAGATTCAGGAGAAAATTGGCGGGAAAATAAGCCGAGGAACCGTACCGAGATTTCATTACCATCGAATCGAGTGACTCTCTTGCAACGTATTGCACAACGTCTCCAACGACTCGTCGATCGATGGTCACGACGTGCGTCACGCTTTTTAACTCGGGACAAACCGAACGAGATAAAAATAAACGGAGGATGGCCAATTCAGTTGAAATTAGTGCATTGAAAAGAAAAAAGAAAAAAGAAGAGAAATAGGAAGAAAGTTGAAAAGAAAACTGGGCGAAAAGGTAGCCGTTATCGATCGAGGAAGGAATGTAGGCGAAGCGGTCGCCCTTACTGCGCACTAGCGTCTACGTAACTCGCAATCTGATTGCCCCGCTAATGGGGCAGACGGGAAGCCACAGAAGGCAATTGACACGTGTAAACAACGGATCGCGTTCGGAACGATTCGACGAATTCCCAACCGGAGGAGCTTCCGCTAATTTCCGGTCTTGACAACCAATCGGCCAATCGGGCTGCCGTCGCCCGCGCAATCTCGCGAGCCCGTCGTTTCGTCGTTTTGTATTCCGCCCTCGGAAGTTCGCCGAGGCACAGGTCGAACGTCCTGGACAGTTTTGCCAACTGTCATAAGGATTCTAAGTAAATCCTCTCCGTGGAGCGCTTCGTGGACGGGATCGTGCAAGTATGCAAAGCAGCACGCCAGATCCACGAATGAGAAGAACGGAAGAGAGAAAGAGCAAACGTGCAAAAGTACTGGCTGAGAGGCGATTACCAGGTTAACAGTCGCACCTGGGAGGGGGGAGGGCCTGGGTTTTCGAGGAAACCAGGTAACGTTCAGCCGAACTAAACTAAGCACGCTTAGCTTTAACGATCGCGCTCACGAGTCGCGTTTAGTCGCGAATACTTTGTAATTGGTGGACAACCTTCGTCCCAACGACGTAACTGACTTCCCGGTTCGCCGTTGCGCCGATAAATCGTCGATCTGAAAGTATACACGATTATCGTTTTACCGATCCGCGAGATCGAATATCTTATCCTTTCGAGCACGACGTTCTTACAATGGGATCTGTTACATAATCAACTCGCCGCTTAATTGCTCGCGTCCCTTGCCTCTTTTATATAATTATTATTTGACGAAACGTGGCTACGAAGCTACGTAGAACCGGTATTGCGCAAGAGCGTGAAATTCGACGGAGAAACGAAAGAAACCGCGGGACACGTCCGTCGGACGTGCCTTTCTCTCTTGGTAACTTCTTCTTACCTCGGAATGAGAAACCTGCGTTATCCTCCCCTGCAAAAGGAAAAGGGAGAGGGACAGGGGGACGGGGGAAAAAAGAGAAGAGCCAGACGCTTCTTTTGAAGGGAACGGTACAACGTATGACGCAGAGAGCTAAGCACCCGGTTTATGTAATACGGTGGATACATGTACATACCTGTTCACGTGCGGCGGTGTGCGAGCGCGATCACACGCGTACCGACACGCTTCGGCTCCGCGTCCGCCGCGCGCACGAGCACGAACACGAACACGAACACGAACACGAGCATCGCGGTCTCGCGTCGCGAGAACTGCGCCGCGACCTACTTGTCTAGGCCACTGTATCTACGTTTCTATGTACGGCTTGTGTTTTGTGTGAAATTCGCGTCCGCCGCGCGATGCGGAATCGCTCGCTCGCTCGCTCGCTCGCCTAGCCGCGCGTACACTTTCCTGCCAGATTCCAGGCGATCGTCGATCCTCGACGAGGCGGATACGTCTCGCGGAATAACCGCCGGCGAACATCCTCCTCGTGTCTTGCGTTAAAAACACGCGCCACGCGTTTCCACAATATCGACAGTACGGCTTTTGAACGAGTAGCGTTTGAATCTCCGTGATATCGTTCCTGAAATATTAATTTTTAATTTTTTCTTTTGGAACTGATATAATTTCGCAAAAAGAAAGTTACATGTACGAGCTCGCATTTTAACGCGTTTCTCAGGCATCGACGAGGAAAGTTTGAATTTCTAATATCGACCCTAAATTTTAGCGTACCAATGACAGTGAAAGGTCTGCCAGTCCCATTTAAACTGATATGATTTCGTAAAAAATTGTACGAGATCTCGTTTTCCTACTTTGACAGTCGCGAGTTTCTTCTCGAACAAAAAGACTGAACTCTCCTTTCTACCAACGACCCTCTGAAATCTGTTGCATTCTTCTTCATCATTTCGTCGATCTTTGGATATTAAGGTTCAACGACGATAGACTGAAGAAATCCTACCACATTTAACTCGAATGTTCCAAGTCTGATAAAACAATAGAACGAAATCGTAAAACGAATTGCGAAGAGAAAATGTCAGTCCTCGAAGGCAATAATAACGAAAACATTGTTTTTACAATTTTCGAGGAAAAAAAAAAGACTCGCGTGCCTTTTCCTTTCGAGAAGGACAAACGTACGATTGTCAAAGTAGGATCCTCACGCTTTAAAACGAGACCGAGTGGATCGTTTTGTCGATTGTCATTGGTACAGTTATGCCTTTCACTGTACGGCTCCAGCGACTGTGTACGACTGCAAAATCAATCGTTAGACGCTCGTGGAAAGAACGAGAGCGAATCGGGCGAGCCAGCAAAATCGAAACGGATCGATAGATGCTTCGGGAAATTGTCATACAAATTGGGGGGCAGGGGGAGGAGGAGGGGAAGGTTAGAAACTTGAAACTAATCTGAGCAAAGTTGGACGACGCCCGGCTAGCTGGACGCACACGTAGCCGAGTATTTCCTCGAGCGGGAAATTATCGCGGCGAACTGCGAACCTCGGGACAGTTATCGGGCGAAGCGGATCTATCTGTTCGCAGTCGCTCGAGCGATTCCGCGGGGAGGAAAATACGCGCGATAGGACGGACAGTTTGGCAAGGCTTGGCAAGACTTCGTGAGATCTCGACCCGACCGGCCGCGCCGTTTCGAAAGCAAATTGCCCCTAAATATCCCCGAGTACGTTCGTAATTTCGCGAAACTTTGAACCTCTCGAGAGGCTTTGGAAAAATCCAGGCTCGATCGATTCGAATGATTCGAATGATTGCGCGGGCAAAACACAAGGCAATCAAGTTCGCGTTTGCGAAAATTGTGAAATTCCTGGCGGTCACCGGGAAAGATGATGGCCGCGTGGTCTTCCGGTTTGCTTGGATGCAGCGGAGGACGCCGCTAGGTCTAAACAACAATTAACTACAGTTACCAGTGCGCCGGATTCCGGGGAATCTGGAACGCGACTGTAAAAAGCAAAGTAAGCGGTGTTTCTCTCTCCACGGCCTGTCTCGTGCTCGTCGTCTCCTTCGCTCCCTTTTCCTTTCACCCCTCCCCTCCCTCCACCGGGAGTTCCATAGCGGATTCCAGGTTGTAACGGATCTAATGGGGAAAAATCTTGAAAAGAAGGAAAACAGAACAGAAACCGAGGTTGAAAAATGGTGCGAAAGACGGCGTTATCGAGGAACGATTCGGAGGAGAATTTTCTTGCAGATTTTTCGAGTTGTTGTCCCGTGTCGACGAACGTGCTGCAATTTTGCGCAATGCAGTCTGGTGAGAAACATGGCGCACGCAGCAGCCGCGCGGCACGTACACTCTCGGTACAGTTCGGCACAGCTTGGTACGTACGTACCAGGTCGACTCGGGTCGATCGTGGGGGATCCCGACGAGGCTGTCGTCACCG